ACTTCTGAGCCAAGGAATGGAAGTTCATTCTTCACTGAGAGGAGAACCTGCCCTCTTCCGAGTCTGAGAGAAAGAGAAATTCAGGAATGCTTGTGGAAAGCGGGACGACCCTTTGCCTTGGCTTGGTTCTCGTTTTCTTGGACTGACCAACTTCCCCGGACCAACCCCGGGGGGAAGAACCTCAGGCGCCCTCTCCTCCCCACAGGATGAGGGCCTTCTTCCCTGACCCCCCCCCGAGAGAAAGAGGGCCCCAAAGCGTCCAAGGGGTCTGTGTGGAAAGGGCTTCCCAAGCCCATTAACCTTCCCCTCCTGCCTCCAGAGCCACAGAGCCCACTCGCAACCCCTTCAGGAGCATCCAGGAGGCCAGAGAAAATCCAGGCTTTTTTTAAAGAAAGGAAAGGCTGGCCCTGGCCAGTCCTGTATCATCCAGAGATGCAGCTGCCAGAGGGTGCCCACCGGTGGAGAGGGGGCCTGAAAGACCCCACCGAGAATGAGCCTTCCCCCTGCCCTCTCGTGGGCTAGGGCTGCCTGAGGAGAGAGAGAGGGTGAGGGGGTTGGGGTGGGGGAGACTCTCTGTGTGTGGGTGGGTGGGGGTTGTCTTCCCCTCCCTTCCCCTTCCCACCCTCTTTCCTCCTATGGGTCCTAAATGTTTATTTTTCTTCACCAGGAGAGGGAGAAAGGGCCCCCCTTGCCCTTTTCTGGGCTCCTTGGAGTGTGGGGTGTGTGTGTGTGGGTGTGGGTGTCTTCTTTGTCACCCTGCTGGAGAATCCTGTGGCCAAGGCCCAGCCTGAGAGTGGGGCTGGACCCACGCAGGAAGAGGGAAGTCCCTCCCGTGGGCGTACCTGCTACCCCCACCCCAGCCCCCTGGCAGAGAAACCAGAGGGATTTGGGAAGGAGAGAGCAAGGAAAGAAAGGGGGAGGCTGGGTGGGCGGCATGGGTCTTTCCTGCCAGCTCTACAAAGGGGGCAGTGGAGGGGCTGCTCCCACCCCATCTCTTCCCCTTCCCTGGTCAGGATGCAGGAGGAGACCCCAGGCGTCCCCAGCCTTGGCTTGCCTCTGCCTTTCCTGAAACGTTTTCCCCCCCACCCCTTCCCCATGGCACCGGGTTCTGGGGAGCCCTATTGGGGTACAAAGGCACCTACCCACCTACAAAGGCACCCCATATGTCCTCCCACTGGGCAGCAGATCCCCATCTGGGGCTGGGGTACCTTGCATTCGTAGCAGTCATGTGGAGAAAGACCCTCCAGTGACAAGGCAGGGCCCACAGAGGGGCGGGGGAGGATGACATCTGAGGTTCCCTTGCCCCCCGTTTCTGCCCTGAAGGCACGGGGCACTGCTCACCCTCCGACGGCTGCTGGCGCTGAGCTCCGTCTCCCTTTCCTGGGCACCCCGCCCTGCGGCCCGCCAGCAGATGTCCAGCTCCAACTTCCAAACCAAGAGACATTGCCTGGTCAGTGGGCAAGGGGGGGGGAGGAAGAGGGCAGGAGTTCTGGGGGCAGTGGAGGGGAAAGGCATGCATCTGGGGGTTAGAACACCCCCACAGACCACCCTCTGACTACCATGGGCAGGGGGGGGGACGGGAAAAACAGGGCTGCTCTTTGTACAGAAAAATGCCCTCCCAGTCGGTGGTGCCAGACTCTGCAGACTCATCCCTCCCAGGAATGTGAGTGCAAGACACAGGTTCGAATGACCCAGGCAGCACTTGGGGGTGTGTGGGGCTGCCCCATCCAGGAACCACACAGATCTCAGCCCGTCAGAGAGAGGTTCGGGTCAAGGGGGGGGTAGGAAGAGGAGGGGAGCGTTCTGCAGGGGCTAAGTCATTACTTATGAGAAGTCACGCTGAATGTCTGAACTACTCTATTAAAACAAGGACCCTGCCCCCCCCCAGTCAACACTCATCGAGGATCAAGGGGACACTCCCGACAGCAAAGAGTTCCAGGGTGTGGAGGGAGGGAGGGAGGAAAAATACCCACATCTGCATTGGTCACCGGGTCAGGACCCTTGAGGCGCAGGCTTTCCTCCAACTGGAAAGCAAAGTGGGGCCAGTGAGAAAGAGGAAGGGGAGAAGACAGGAGCCCAAAGCAATTTTAATTCCCCACAACTAGGATGGAAGCAGGATCCTGCTCACCATCCCCATTAGGAGCCACAGGTGGTCTCTAGAGCACTGGCTCTCAGTTTTTCTTCTTCTTAAATGCTCGCACCCCACCAGAGACTCTATCCCGGAACTACGAAGGAAACAGAAGGACCACTTTTCCCAGAGAAGGCCCACACAAGTATCCGATGATGAGGTTTTTTAATGGCCCATGCTGGGTGAAATCCAGTGGCTGAGCATAGTGAACCAGAGTGCAGGAGGCCCCCTGAATCGATGGCAACTTGGGAATCTCCTCTGGAGGCCCTCTGGAATCAGCAGAAGCGCCTGGGTGACTAAATACTGTAGTTTTCAAAGCTAAGCAACAGGATTTCAGCCAGTTCAATTAAAACCATTACAGTACCTTTTGTGGAAAGTAAAGATATAAGACTTTTTCTTTCTTACCATGACAATCACCTGCAAGATTATTATTAATACGGAAGAATATACACGCACACACACCACACACACAGATTTCTCAGGGCTGTTGTGAGATCCCACCCTCCCACCTGGACCGCTGGCATATGTGGCACAGGATGGCGACCACTGGTCTAGAGCACCACCGGCTGCCTCCACCCACCCAAGCTGTTTTAAGCAACAAAGGCAGAAAGGGAAGTCCCACAGATCCAGGGAAGCCCGTAACCTCTGGCCGTGGCCATTACTTGCTGCTCCAAAAAGCAAAGGGCAGAGGCAAATCATTATTTCAGCCAACCCTGAAGATCTCTGTAGCCCAGGGCTAAATCCAACAGGGCAAATGGGGGTTGTATGGAGGAACACCTTCCCCCTCAAACCCGCCCCAGTCTCTCGGCAAAGAATCATCATCTCACGCACCTCTACCACCAGACAATCGGCCCCGAACATCCCCCCACCATCCCTGTTACTTGCCCGCTCCACTCGCTTCCTGACATACAGTCCCACAGGTTCTTCAAGGGGTGATGAGGGGCCCAGCCCCCCAGGCTCCTCCATGGGGCCAGACATCAGCCTGCCTTTCCTCCCCGCCTAGCACAACACGGAAGCCCCGCAGGGGTATCCAAGGCAGAAACAAAGAGGCTCGGGAAGGCGAGGCTGCCGGGCAAAGCAAGCAAGCAAGGGATGCCCATTGTCTCCCTCAAGGCCCCCAGGAAAGGGGAAGGGGCCCTTTTCATCCTCTGAGGCAGGAGGAGGAGAGGAGGGGAGGGGAGGGGAGGCTGAGCAGTGGTGGAAGGGGACCCTCCTGCCCCCCTCCTGCATCCCTGGGTGAGGGAGTGGCCAGTGGCCGGCTTCTTCTTTCCCGCCTCCCCCACCCCAGCCGTCTCCCCCAAGAGGACCAGAGCACGGGTGGGGCTTCCTCCCAGGGGCAAGAATCCTCCTCCTCCTCTCCTGGCCCTTGATATCCAGTTTCCTTTGAAGACTCGCCTGCATTCAAGGGGCCGCATGGACTCTTTGCTCTGCATGGTATCCCAGGAGGACAGGAGCCCTTGAGCAAGAAAAGTGCCCCTGCGCGCGCGCACACACACAAACACACACACACACACACAAACCCATCTCTATAGGGAAGGGGAACCCTCCACAGGAACACACGGCAGGTCCTGCACCCACTTCACGGGCAGGAGAGCCTCTCCAGGCACTACCTTCAAAGGGACAAGCCAGGGGGCATCGTTGGAAAAGCCCTTGCCCCCTCCCAGACCCCCTCCAAAAGAAAACCATGGAATGGGGCAAGAACCTTCTCCCCCAAAGACCCGTGAATTCCAAGCAAAAGAAAGAGTCCTGCAGCAAAAGAACAACAGTTATGGGCTGAATCCGGTGAAATCAGAGCTGCAGAGGGACTGCCACACACTCCCTATTTTATTTAACTGGATCACAGAGAAACTGGTTGCTCCAGTACAGTTCTTACTCCAGGCCCTCATCATTTCTGCAAAGCCTTTTTCAACATCAAGCCAACTAGTGTTTCTTTTATCAACCCCTCCCCGCAAACTAACAACACTGGTATGAGCAAATGTACCCTTTCCCCGGGCGACAGCTGCCATGGAAACCTGTGCCCCCTTGAATTTCTCTAGTGGGTTGCCATGCTCACTGGAACACAAGAGCCCAGACCCTCGTAAAGAGACAAGATGCCCCCCTCCCTCCCTCCACTGGCCACCCTGACTCCCAGCCAGCAAGTCATAACAAACAGTGTTTTTAACAGGAGTTTTGAAATTTTACCCCAGCAGCCCAAAACCTTCCTTCCCAGCACTACTCAAACTCCTGTGAAGTGAATAAGACATACAAAATATATAAACAGGTAGCCATGATCTCTAAGCAAGCAAGACACGAGCTTTTCAAAATTTTACACAGTTGTTTTTTCATGTATTCCTTAGCTCACCTTCACAGTCCAGATGAAACTGGATTTAATTGCTTCTAGCCTTTGGAAGATGAGACATCCAGAAGATGCCTCTTTCTGATTTTAGCTCACTGTGTTAATGTACAGTAAAAAAGTTTCTCAATAGAAAAAGAGAGGAGTAGGTTTTTGGCTTTACATAGATTGAGGATTGAGTATCATGCCAGCTAAGGGTATAAGAAAGCTGGCCATCCTTTGTTCTGGGGCCCCTGCTTTTTGGGCACCCACAGTTGTGATTTCTGAGTTAAAAAATATAATCGCATTTTCGCTCAAGAAACTCTCTGGTCTTTGCTCAGTTTCCTGAGGGATGTTCACTTTTTGGAAGGTTTTAGAGTGACACTCTCTTGCTGGTCCCTGTACTGAATTCTTCAGAAAAGCTTTCATGATTAAGGCCCAAAGAAGGCTTTAAGGCTTGTCCTATAGGTTTTGCAAGAATTCTGAGGTGCCTTGAGCTATGATTGCAGTTCTTAAACTCTTAAAAAGCTGCTTTTGATTAATCAAACAAACTGTTCTTCCTAAAACAGTCACATCCAAATAGGATAACGCTGAACATTATTGTTTATGACCAAGTGTTTGGTTCCTCCATTGGAATGGTTCCCCCAAAAAAGCACTTGCCCCCCCATGGTGCCTTTCACAGCCAAAAGGCTTGTCCTAACAAGTCCGGGTCTCATTCAGTCAACCAGACATGTCCAGGCAGGCTCAGGACCTTGGAGGTGAAGGAGGGGTGGAAAATAAACAGCCCAGAATGCTCATGTCCACCCTCTGCAAACAGCCCCCCCCCCGATCCCTTCCACTAGGGTAGGAACAAAATTTCCTTTCCTTCCTGCTGCTGGGAAGCAGGACGGAGGGACGCCTATCCATTCACTCAGCAGTGAGACTCAAGACAGCAGGACAATTGCCTCCACTCAGCGCAACAGGAGTGGACTTCTGCCTTGCCATCAGGCAGAGCATGGTCGTGCAGTCCTCCGAGAAGGGCCCCTTCTAGAGTTAACTGTGCACGTCCTCCAGTAAAGGGGGGACAAGAAACTGTTTTACAATCAGCATCTGGGAAAGATCTGCAGAAAGCGTGGGGCAAGATCACCACCACCGGCTGCCCCCTCAGGCGCATGGCTTACTCCTCGCACCTTTTCCTCCTCACCCCCTCGCTTGCTCAATGTACATACCCTGCAACCTGCTCCGGAGAGCACGAGCACGCTTTCCTGGGACCAAATAGAGATGACACGATCCTGCTTGACTTGGGTAGATGGATTCTAAGGTGGGATGGATCCTCCAAGCAGCAGGAGCCCCTCCCTGATCCCCGTCTTCCGGCCACGTCCCACTTACCCGTTCGCTAATGGCGTTGTATTTGATGGCCAGCTCATCGCGTTCAGCACGGCTCTGGGCTAGGAGGTCTTCCACTCGGGAGAGCTCCTGTTGCAGGATGTGGTTTTCCTCTTGAAGGGAAAGCAAGGAGGTCATGGTGCCGTGGCTGGCGGCTGCAGGGAGGGAAAACAGAGGTTCAGCCAGGGACGCTTCGGCACGGTCTGAAAAGCCCAGGAAGGAGGGCCTCCGCTTCTTGCTAGGCAGGCAGGACCAGGCAGGCTGGCCAAGTGACTTCCTGGCCCACTTGGTTAGGTCTAATGAGACAGGTCACAAGTATAGGCCATGTTGGCTTGAATATTTTTCTTTCTTTCTAATTCTCCTGCTAGAGATAAACTCGTGAACAGACATGGTGGGATGCCAAGGCAATCACAATTGTGCTTTTGCAGGTGGTGGCTTAAGCTATAAGGTACATAGACAGAAAGCTAATCTGTGAACACTGGCAAGCATGTGGTGAGGGCAGACAGAGGACTCATCTTCCAGAAGGAATTTTGAAGCATTCACCTCTTCTTCCTGCATGTGAATATTCATCAACCGGGGTAAGCATGGAAAATGTGCTGGAATATCTGTTCCATGAAATGATGTTTTTTTTTATCCAGAAACTTTGTCTTGGAACTGGTAATTATGCATTCTGAATGCATACAATACCTTGTCAAAAGATTTGGGTGAGATAGTTGTAGGCTTGCAAAACGAGATAGGCTACACTCTTTTTGGGGAGCACAATATTGGCTTGGTGGACTGAATTCGGATTGACCCAGTAGCAAAATTCTTCATAAGGACATATCAGTTCTCCGAAAAAAAAATGCATGCATCAATTTACACAGCACTCGAAAGGTGCCAGCATACCTAAACTGGGGCGGGCTTTCCCGCCTCCCCCACCCCAGCCGTCTCCCCCAAGAGGACCAGAGCACGGGTGGGGCTTCCTCCCAGGGGCAAGAATCCTCCTCCTCCTCTCCTGGCCCTTGATATCCAGTTTCCTTTGAAGACTCGCCTGCATTCAAGGGGCCGCATGGACTCTTTGCTCTGCATGGTATCCCAGGAGGACAGGAGCCCTTGAGCAAGAAAAGTGCCCCTGCGCGCGCGCGCACACACAAACACACACACACACACACACA